CTAGCACACTCTAACAAAGGGACTAGGAATGTGATACTTCTAGAAATGTCACATTCTAAAAGTCTGAATGATTTCCAGTGGTGTTCAGATGGGTGACAGTGGGAGAAGTTAGTATTCACTTTCTTCTTTGGAAATGCTTTTTTTTCCAAACTGGTATATAAAGATCTCCAACATAAGCTTTAGTTGAACATTTTAAGGTAAACTATACTCCTCCTGATATAAATCAGTCTACCTTTGGAATGTGTATAAGGCACATGCCTATGAAAAAGTTAGTAGGACATTACATTTTAGATAAACTGTAGACAGGATTTAAGATAAAATCTCTAATTTAGAGAGAATAAACACAACTTACTGCACATTTAACCATTCTGCTATGGGGAATAGCATTGTAGGTAAATGTTCAAAGAACATACAGTACATCTAGATCAGATCTCCACAATATTGTCTATAAAAGACATTGATTTGCTAATGGCTTCTATCCAAAAGGAAATTCACTAGGTAATAATTTCTTGATTGGTGACAGCTTCTCCAGTGAATAATATTAGCAATTTAAACATATGACCTCCTCATTTTTGAAAGCACCTAAACTCAGTGGCATCCCAACAGAGATATTCACAGTTATTATAGAAACCCTGCCCAAACCTGAGAGAGGCCCTCATAATTCTGGCAACCCCAGATATTTTTAGGACATTTAAAAATGTATTATGAAATATTAGCTTACAGATTCCTAAACTCCACTCGTGACCATGATATATTTGAATTGGGCAGAAAAAACTACAGATGGTACCAGAGGTAGGATCAATCTATTTTAATATGAAGGGCATAAATACATTTTTTCTCTGTGTTTCTAACCTTGGATGTATAAAAGGCATTTGATATAATTTTTATGGAATGGTTCATTTGAGTTTTGCAGAAATCTGGCTTTGCAGGATTGATACTATCAGCTATCCTAGCTTTATTTACCAATCCCTTAGTGAAACTCTGTACTTATTGTACAACTACTATTGACTTTATGTTAGTTATGGAACCCAAAGCTGAATACATTTAACATGAGCAATAAAGATGAACTCTTGGCACAAAGTCTTTCATTTAAATAGAACATGGCACCATACATATACAGTATAAAAGCAAAGGCCAACCATATATGGTGTAATCTGTTATTATGATTTTTTTTAAATTCAGGTATTTGATTTGTGCCCCTACTTGTACTGATATTATTGCTGCTCTTTCTATTTGTTTATGTCAATACTTTGTTTTGTTAGTAGTAACCGTTTTGATCATTTAATTTCTATCTTCTTCGTGCATTTTACATTTGCTCTTCTGAAGTCATTTACTTCAGGGGTGTTTGGGTCGGAAGGGTTTGCTGCTTTTTTTGTGTGACCTCTGAAGATTGAAAACATAAACATTGCTGAATGGCATTAGCTCCTGATTTTAGGCCTGTGAGTACCCACAATAGGTCTGGGTTTGTCAATGCACTTGGGCTATTGTTCCATATGTAGTATGCAGTGGATACAGTGGCTACATCACTTGGATACTCTGTATCCTCAAAGATTGAACTCCGATTTGGATGTATATTGTTCTTGTGAGGCTATTTAAAAAAGACTGCATGGGGTGGCTTGGTTGCATTGCACCTGTGATCCCTCTGGGTGCAGTTCACCTACTTGTTTTACCACAAGGAGTTATCCTCTAAAAATATTTAAAAATATTTTTGGCCCATGTGAGCTATTCTTATCTACAGGTTTATCATAACATTAAAAGCAATATGCTGAAAATATATAATTTTATTCTAAAATAGAAATGTTTCTGACAGTTAGAAATACTATCACTAAAGGCATAACCATTTTACAGCTAACTAGGAAACAAACAACAATGTGCAAAGTCTAACCCTCTAATTAAGTTGTAAATGGATAGTGTAAGGAAATTATACCATGGAGTTTATTTAAATATTGTATCTGGTTATACTACAGCGTATACAGTTGCAAGAAAAAGTATGTGAACCCCTTGGGATTACGTGGAGTTTTGCATGAATTGGGCATAAAATGTGCTCTGAACATCATCTAAGTCACAACAATAGAAGAACACAGTCTGCTGAACATAATGCTACACAAACATTAGATGTTGCCATGGTTTAACTGCACATAACATGTAAACATTCACAGTGCAGGAGGAAAAAGTATGTGAGGCCCTAGCTTAGTGACTTCTCCCAAAGCTAATTGGAGCCAGGAGTGAGCCAACCTTGACTCCAATCAGTGTGTGATGATATTGGATGTGTTGCTGACAGCTGTCCTGCCCTTGAAAAACACACACCTGTTTTGGGTTTACTGGTTTCAAGAAGCACTGTCTGATGTGAACCATGCCTCGCAGAAAAGAGCTCTCAGAAGACCTACGATCAAGAATTGTTGACTTGCATGAAGCTGGAAATGGTTACAAAAGTATCTCCAAAAGCCTTGATGTTCATGTGTCCACGGTAAGACAGACTGTCTACAAATGGAGAAAGTTTAGCACTGTTGCTACTCTCCCTAGGTGTGGTTGTCCTGTAAAAAATGACTGCAAGAGCACAGCGCAGAATGCTGCATGAGGTAAAGAAGAATCCCAGAGTGTCAACTAAAGACCTACAGAAATCTCTGGCACATGCTAACATTTTTGTTGACACATCTACAAGAATGAAAACATTAAACAAGAATGGAGTACATGGGAGGACACCACGGAGGAAGCCATTGCTGTCCAAAAAGAATATTGCAGCACGTTTGAAGTTTGCAAAAGAGCACCTGGATGTTCCACAGCACTACTGGCAAAATATACTGTGGACAGATGAAACCAAGATTGAGTTGTTTGGGAAGAACACACTATGTGTGGAGAAAAAAAGGCACAGCACACCAACATTACAAACCTCATCCCCACTGTAAAACATGGCGAGGGAGCATCATGGTTTGGGGCTGCTTTGCTGCCTCAGGGCCTGGACATTGTTGTCATTGGATGGGAAAATGAATTCCAGAGTTTATCAAGACATTTTGCAGGAAAACCTATATGACCAACTGTCCACCAACTGAAGCTCTGCAGAGGATGGGTGATGCAACAGGACAATGACCCAAAGCATACAAGTAAATTCAACAAAACAATGGCTGCAACACACAGAATATGCCTTCTGGAGTGGCCCAGTCAGAGTCCTGACCTCAACCCGATTGAAATGCTGTGGCATGACCTTAAGACAGCGATTCACACTAGACATCCCAAGAATATTGCTACACTGAAACAGTTTTTGTGAAGAGGAATGGTCCAAAAATTACTCCAGAGATCGTTGTGCAGGTCTGATCTGCAACTACAGGAAAAGTTTGGTTGAGGTTATTGCTGCCAAAGGAGGGTCAACCAGTTATTAAGTCCAAGGTTCACATACTTTTTCCTCCCTGCACTGTGAATGTTTACATGTTATGTGCAATTAAACCATAGCAATCTAATGTTTGTGTAGTAATAGTTCAGCAGACTGTGTTCTTCTATTTGTTGTGACTTAGATTACGTTCAGAGCACATTTTATGCCCAATTCATGCAAAAACTCCACGTAATCCCAAGGGGTTCACATACTTTTTCTTGCAACTGTAAAACTTGAACCACAATTACCCTCCTATATAAAAAGGGGTCCCAACAGTAATTAGCAACAGTACCCATGTAGTTAGATTGTACCACTTTAGAAACGTATAGACCTACAGTTAAAACAGGCTAATATTATATTATACTACTATGTAATGGAAATCCTTTGAAGAATGTAAAAAAATCCCAAACACTATAGCGGTATATGAAGCCATGTAAGCTATTTATAGAATAGCTTCCCACCCAACAGATCCCACCCTCTTCCTCTGTAGATGCATTTTTACTGGGAACCAATGCTCACAGCCTCCATTGTTTGTTGACATTCAGTGCCACACAGACTCTCACCCTGGCCGCGCATACGCAGTAAAGCCCAATAGAAGTCTATAGGGCAAGTCTCCCCCATATCCAGTTTAGAGATGGAGATAGATGAGCACTATAAAATATTTGGTGCCAAACTGTGCAAGTGCATGAGAGCAAGGGAGAAATGACATGTGGTGTGTCCCCCCTCATTTTTTTACACTCTTTCTTTGCTTGCTTCTCAACCTCCCACTCTCTCACCCACTGCTTATCAAGCTATACCCCTCTCCTACCCACTAATTTCCTTATGCTGTCATATCTTCCCCTCCCAAAACATCACTTCTCAATGTTATGACAAAATTAAAACAAACTGGGACTGTGGGTTCCTCAGTCCATACTGGGCTAAATTGTACCCTTTTTTGCGGAGCCTACCTAAGTGTCTTGCTTTACTCTGCCGTACATCACTGATAAGAATTTGAAGGCTATAATCCAGGTTTTTGCTGATTCGTTGTTTCTTGTGGATTTTGCTATTTTTAATTCCTGAATTTTGTTATTTGTACCTGAAAGCAATTTCTATCAGCAACATTTATTGGTATGCTTTTTTTTGTATGAACCTTAACCACTTCGCCTCTCACACCTGTTCATTGCAATGACCAGAGAAATTTTACATTTCCACAATGGACCTGTTTAGTCAATAATTTTGTCATTACTTACAATAACAAGGTAATACATATATTTTTTTTTTTAGGCCAGACAAGGTTTTCTTTTCATGATATTGCCTTGCAACAAAGATTTTTTTGTATTCCTTAGACATGGGAAATATTTACTGTATTTTTCGCTCCATAAGATGCACCTGACCATAAGACGTACCTAGATTTTGGAGGAGGAAAACAAGAAAATAAATATTCTGAACCAATGGACTGCAGACAAAGTACAGGAAATGACCAGAGACTGCAGACATAGTACAGGAGATGACCAGAGACTGCAGACATAGCACATGAGGTGACCAGAGACTGCAGACATAGTACAGGAGATGACCAGAGACAGCGGACATACTACAGATGACCAGAGACTACGAACATACTACAGGAGATGACCAGAGACTGCGGATGTACTACAGGAGATGACCAGAGACTGCGGACATACTACAGGAGATGACCAGAGACTGCGGACATACTACAGGAGATGACCAGAGACTGCAGACATACTACAGGAGATGACCAGAGACTGCGGACACAGTACAGGAGATGACCAGGGACTGTGGACATACTACAGGAGATGACCTGAGATTGCGGACATACTACAGGAGATGACCAGAGACTGCGGACACAGTACAGGAGATGACCAGAGACTGCGGACATACTACAGGAGATGACCAGAGACTGTGGACATAGTATAGGAGATCACCAGAGACTGCGGACATAGTACAGGAGATGACCAGAGACTGCGGACATAGTAGAGGAGATGACTAGAGACTGCGTACATAGTACAGGAGATGACCAGAGACTGCAGACACAGTACAGGAGATGGCCAGAGACTGCGGACATAGTACAGGAGATGACCAGAGACTGCAGACACAGTACAGGAGATGACCAGAGATTGTGGACATACTACAAGTGATGACCAGAGACTGTGGACATAGTATAGGAGATCACCAGAGACTGCGAACATAGTACAGGAGATGACCAGAGACTGCGGACACAGTACAAGAGATGACCAGAGACTGTGGACATAGTACAGGATATGACCAGAGACTGTTAACATAGTACAGGAGATGACCAGAGACTGTGGACACAATACAGGAGATGACTGGAGACTACGGATATAGTACAGGAGATGAACAGAGACTGCGGGCATAATATAGGAGATGACCAGAGACTGCAGACCTTTGGGGAGCGGGCGGGGGGGGCGGGCACCCAAATTTGACAGGTACCCGCTCCCACTTCCGTGGAGTTTTCCTCCACCCCTCCCTCCCCGTAGTCTTGTGGGACACATGACAGGTCCCAGAAGACTACGGGGCCATTCACAAAGCTCAGCGCTTTTTACGCATGCGCAGTGGGCACCCTGTTGTGAAGCCGCAAGCTGTCACAGCCGGGTGCCCACATTGAAGATGCTGGCACCAGGGAGAGAAGACGGCTGGTGAAAGCAGGACACCGCTGGACCGAGGAACAGGTAGGACCGAGCAGCGGGTTCTTCTGCATAGTAGAATCGAGCGGACCAGCCCAGTATTCTAACATGGCGGCGGTGGGAATACCAGGCCAGCAGCTCCATATTTGCTCCATAAGACGCACAGACATTTTCCCCCATTCTTTGGGGGGACAAAAGTGCATCTTATGGAGTGAAAAATGCAGTCAATATTATTTAGGGCTGGTTAGAGTAAACTAAGGGTTAATAAGGGGTTAAACAGAGGAAAAGTTTTTTTAAAACAAACAAAAAAACTTTTTTTCTTTAAACTTGTCAGGTGGCTTTAACTGACATCACTTGCAAGACTACGTTCATCCAATGACCTGCACATGAATGAACAGAATGATACAAAAGTAACAATATGTTCCTTTGTTTATTTCTATAAATCTTGTCTGGAGCAGTGTTGTTTATAAATACTGACTGTTAACATCTTCTTTGAGCATACAGTAATGCTGGCTTTGATTAATCAGAGCCAACAATTGCTGTATACTGGGAGGGGGGTCCCAGAAGGAAGACAGAGTGACTGAATGTGATATGCACATCCTGTGTACAATGATTTTAAGTTTTTTGGGTGTGTGTAGTCTGCCCAAAGTCTACAACTAGTTAAAAAAAAAAAAGGAAACCAGGTCTGGAACCAAAACACTCCAAATGTTTTGAGGGTTTTTTACTACCCAATTTGGGTTTTGGATAGAGTGGAGAAGGAACAGAACCTCTATTTGGTTTAATTGCTGTCTGGAGCTGTTTTGGAGAGATTTCTTCACTTCCTGTCTGGTAAAACATTTGTCCTAAGAACAGGAAGTGAGTGGAAATCAATCTAACAGCAAAACAGACAATTATAAAACTTACAGATTTTCCCTTACTTCTTTGTGCACTAAAACAATAAACAAACAGAAGGTGCCACCATCTAAGTGAATCAATTAAATTAAAAACAAGTAAAGGGAAGGGTTAAAATGCACTCACAAGGATGAGAGTAAATGGGCATATCATCAGTCCTTATTTGCTGGCAAGCCTCGGTGGACAGCGGGTGGATGGATAAGATGTATCCACAGCTCTGCAGGATAGGTGGAATAAAGCTGGACTCTGTCAGAATCCAGATTAAGTCCATATGACAGGCTGTGTCTTCCAGCAGAAAATATAGCCACACTGGAATGCAAGCCAGTGCTAGGACCAGAATCACAAGTGAAGTCAGGACGTATTGACGTCAAAGCGTGACGGGTGGTAACATGTTACAGAGCCCACAATTGCTCCTTTGTCAAACCATGAGAGGGAAAGGATAGCTATTTATTAGGCACTGAAAGAGGAAGGGGAGGGGAAATGTAGCACACATGGAATACTATTGATCGTTAAGTACGGGCAGATATGGCTTAAATAATTTGGGTGGAACTGACAAAATAAATGAATACTATGTACATGATCTAAAAAAATAAAAAAAAAAATAAAGGGGAGTTTTAGCACCAAAAATAAAACAAAAAATTAAAATATAATGAAAAATAGGTGATACAAATAGCATTGCAGAGAAATTTGACTCAATATAAACAGAACTAGAAAAATAGACACTATATGAAACAAAGGGGAAGGAAAAAAAAACCCTAAAGGGGAACTCTAGCCTGTAAAATGAAGATCACGATGTGAATAACATACCAAGATGAGTCTGCTATTTACTCTTTGTATACAGATAGATTAGGAGGGAAAGAAATGACAATATATAAAATAACAGTGTAAATATTATAAAAGGCTTTATATAGCTTGAATATAATATATTTGTTAACATTTTCCCTTACTTCTTGTCTAGTAAAAGATTGTCCCCAAATCAGAAAATGAGAGGCAATTTCTTTAACAGAGTCCCAGATAGCAAAAAACTTGACAGGGGTTAAATCTTTCCCCATTGTATCCAAATCCAGTTTTGAGTGTGGATACACTTTAAACAAAAATTAGATGTTTTGCCTCCTGTTAAACTTGCTACACAGCCATAACAAATTAGACCTGGAATTGTTCCTCACAAAACTCTGATCTGCCAAGAAATTAAAAAAGTCCATTGATTTTAACAATTGACCACATAGCTTGATTTAACCAGCAATATGTTTAACATCTTTATTTATTGTATTACACTCTATGGTTGCACTACTCCTGAACAAGTTATATTCCCTTTTATGTCATTTTTTAATATTTTTACACAACTTTATAATTGTAATAATAAATACTAAAACTCAATTGTAGTAGTAATATATTTAATTCTCATGGTGCCTGATGGTTCTATACCGTTTAAATTGTAAATTCTGTAAATATGCTACTTTGCTTTATTCATTAACTAAAGGACAAAAGTAACAGCTATTTATACTAATTATTATGTCAATATTATTCAACTAAAAATATATCCAGTAATTACAGCACAGGAACACACTGAACATTAGACTGAACACAAAACTGTAGGTATTATTGACACAGCAGGTAAACTTTGAAATAGTTGTATGAAGTACTTGTTTTTGCTATCACACAAATATAAGTAAATTAAAAAGAAGAGTAATGGCAATTCAACAGTACCTATATGATGAATGAAGACAAGGAATAATTTAACCTCTTCTTGACAGCTATAGCCAAATGATGGTTACTGCATGGTCCAGATCTGGGAAGGCGTCATATGATGTCCTCCCAGAACACGCCCCCTGCGAGCCCCCAGCAGCACGCATCGGCACTGTCTGTGATTGCGGTATCCTCCAGACACAGCTGATCACATGACTCAGTAGAGGACCAATCACAGCTGACCACTATGTAAATACATGTGCCAGTTATCAGCAGTGACAGCGGGAGCAAATTACTGCCAATTACTGGCAACTGTGAAAGCAGAAATCTACACTGATAATCAGGGCATGGATTATCAGTGCCCTGGTTATCAGTGAAGCCCCAAAACTATTAATTATTAGACCTTTATCTTAGCTTTATTTGTCAAAGATACATTTTTAAAATCGAATCTTTTAAGATTAGTTGTGCAGATACCAAAGGGTCAACATTTCTTGTTTATTAGCAGAGTAAATACTGTATAACTAAAAACAAAATCTTGAAACAACACATTTCTTGGCCATTTATTGAAAGCTTGTAATCTTTTGAAGTCATATAAGAATTTAATCGTGCATGTGGCAGTGGATGGCCATTACTCATTAGAAAATAGTCACCAAAACCTTATTTTACCTGGGCACCTACAGTAAATATATATACAGTATATACCTATATAAATATAGCTGAAAACATTGAGGAGAATGACAAGTTTTAACTTTACATAACAAACTTTAATTCCATAGTAAATTTGTCAAGGACTAAAACCAATAATGGCAAAACTACTTCTGGGGTCCCACAAAAAAAAAAAACTCCAGTTTCTCAGGATGAGAGATTTAAAGGGCTACTTCCCCAACACTGGTTTTTAGCTTTGCATAATACCTATTTTCATCAAATGGTTTCTTCTTCTTTCATTCAGAGGATTTAAAGGGAAATTAAACCCTCCTATCGTTTTCAGTGAAGAAAGCTGCCATCTTGCCTCTATTTGATCTTCCACTGCCATGATGCAGCACATGTGATCAGTTATGACACCAGCCATTTAATAGTTTGACAGTTTGGTTGAGAGCAAGACCAATGTGACAGTTACATTCTGGGGCGGACTGACAACTCATGGGGCCCCCGGGCAATAGGGGATCATGGGGCCCCTGTGTCCTTGCCCAAACTCAAAAAAGCATATGAAAAAGGTACCAGGGGCATCTCATGGGGCCCCCTACTGACCTCGGGCCCTTGGGCAGTGCCCAAGTTTCCAAATGATCAGTCTGCCCCTGGTTACATTACCAGCAAGTGTCGGTAATCTGTTTTGAAACTGTTGAATCGCTAGGTTTAGTTCCGCTTTAATAGCATGGCAATTCTATCAGAATTTTCAGTTTACAAAAATCAAATGATGGTGTCTCACTTTCTTAAGTGATTCACCATAGTACACACATTATTCTCTGGAATAAAATCTCAGCATTAAGAAAAAAAATCTTAAAAATAGGAGTTATAAAATCCAAAATTCAACCAACGAATCATCAGTTTTAGGTGTAGTTAAATTTTTAATTCTGTTGAGAAAAAAAACACTCTCACTACCTCTGCAGAAAAAAAAAATTATTTGTACTCAACCTTTCCTTGTTCACTATTTCAGGAACCAAAATAGGCCAGCATATTCACATCGCAAATGGGACACTTTCCCCAAAGGTCAGAAAATATAGCTGACAAATGTTGCTTCATCTTAAACAACCCCTGCTTTTTTAAGACAAGAAGGTCTACCGTTACTTGGTTGCGCTAGGTCTTGGTACACAGTGCTTTAGTTTATGGCCTATTGGCAAAAGGGACCTAGCAAAGATAACAGAAAAGAGTAACTGAAAACTTCAAGAGTATCTAGTATGAGGAATAACATGGCAGGAGAGAATCCATGTGAAATTCCAGATGCTTGTGTTAATCACAGTTGGTGGTAGACAGTTAGCATTATCCAGAGGTAATCCAGGCAGTAGGTTATCTAGAAACAGTCTAAGGTCAAAACGCAGG